AGATTGTACACTATCATTGGACAGAACTTCACCGAAAAAACTGTGTAGAATGTTAGAAAGTAATATAAGTGGTCATTCTAAAAGATAGTCTTAGGAAGAGCAAAAAGGGATATAAAAACAAAGGAAGCATGAGATGGCCACAATATTCCTTTTCCTCTCAATGTCCACTACAACTCAATGCCAGTATTATAATATCTTTCCTTTGCAGTCTCTCTGAAAGTTTGTCTTCATGCATAATTAATTACTCCGTATTTGAAGTTGCGGGATTGAAAAAAAAAAAGTCTACTGCATCAGCCTAGGGAACAGTGGTGGCTCATAAGAGTTGAGAGCAGTGAATAAATTTTGGCTTTTAATACATGGACTGCACTTGCTGAAGAATTGGATGAAAAGGGTGCGGGAAATATCTGAGAAGTCGTGGATGATTTCCTGGTTTTTGCCTTAAGCAATCTGGTGAATGTCAGGTCATTTATCTTGATAGAAAACATCATCTCAGCTGATAGGGGTAAGATTAGAGCTAGTGAAATGGAGATGTCTATTTAAATTTTTTTTCCAGGAAGGCAGTGATGTGAAGCGGGGAGGTGTGCATCCAAATCGAGGTCTCTGTGTTGGATATATTATGATGGCGAGTACGGGAACTTCAAACAAACTGTGAGTAGAACTAAAATAGGCTATAGCTTGATAAGATAATGCAACTAAGATAAACTTTGTTTTTGTTGTTTGTCTGTTTTATGTTATGGAAAACTGCAGCATGTTCGTATTTTAAAGACCTAGAGAGAGAGAGAGAGAGAGAGAGAGAGAGAGAGATTGCAGATACACGAAACACGGATCATTTCATAAACTGCTTCTTCTCACTGAACTCATGGCAGATACTTCTTTCGTATTTAAGCAACAGCAATTGCAACAAGTAAAAAAAAAATGTCTCTAAAGCTCTAAAACTTCCTCCCTTTCCCTCCACTGGCTAGCTTCCATAGACAGCTCTGGATTGGACCAGATAATGCTTAATTAGAAGCTCTATCAACTTTAACCAGTTATAATGAGTGATGGGTTTTCTTATTAATTTTCATTAAAAATTCATTGCAGTGATCACAGTTAGTAATTTTTTAAAGTTAATTTATGACTGTGTCAGTGAGCCTGTACATTTAAGATTTGGACCACTTTTTAGGATCATAATTATTCCTTTGGGCAGTCAGTTTTCTAGTTTTGGGTTTTACTAAAAATGTTTGAGACCTCTCTGAAGAACAGCATATTTGTGGAGATAATTTACTTTCTCAAACCCTAAGGCTAGAAATAATAGGAAAGAAACCAATCACAAACAACTCCACGGAGCAGTGCAATGTTTCTCAACCTGCAAATGAAACAAACACTTGATTTCAACAGAGTTGTGTTTTAAAGGATTTTTGCCTCAATATGTAAATACTTTAATTCTATTGTGGGCAATGCGACACTCTCCTACAAGGAAGTGATAAATTAACACTAACTTGAACCACCTGAATGTTCTGCAGAAAGAAAAGAGTAGACATTGGTAAGAAATTTTAAAAATCATATACACGTGCAGATTCCTTAGTCACAATGTGTTGGTTGGAGCAAAGATTTTAAAAGCCTGTAAGGAGGCTGGAGATTCAACAAGCTGATCGGTAACACATCATAGAGCAGTGGCCAAAGAATATAGACATTATAGTTTAGATTGTTCAGCAATGCACAGAAGCACAGTTGAAGGAGTATCAGTCTGGCACAGAAAGCTGGGAAATGACATGAGCAGATGAATTGCACTAGGCTGCAGCAATCAGAAATTGATTGCTCTGTTTGAATGGCTGAAATTTATAGGTGGGATGGCTAAGAGATCCTTGCATCCAGAGGCTTCAAAAAGATGGACTGTTTGTCCAACCAGCCCAGGAAAAAACATTCACTCTGTGAGTTTCAATCGCCTACTTGCATGGGCAATAGTGCCCCGGGGATGGATACCTTCAGATACGAATGTCACCAGTCGAGCTGCTTTACAGGTAGATAATAATGACTAATCCACAGCATCATTCTCCTTCCTCTCCAGTCCTCCAAATATCCGTCCAGTAGTAAGTCAGCAGGTTTTATGATTTCTTTATCTCCAATTTTAACCTGATCCAAAGTTGTGATAGACTGAACTGCGGCCAAATTGGTGGGTTTGAACGATGTGGCAGGTGTGGCTTGTTATGGCTCATGTGGATGGCTCTTCCAGGGACAGAGCTGGTACTTTCCAACAGACTGCTGTAACCTGCTTTTCATTATACATAAAAATCCTCATCAGAAAGTTGTCTATGCAGACAAATGGGAGAATGAAGAATACTAGGATGCTACAGAGTTGGTACACTGATATTGGAGGAAAGGAACAAGGGGCAAAGTTCAATACAAGGAATACCAATAATATAATTTCACTAAGTATAAACAACAGAGTTGTGTGCCTCGACCTCAAAAGAAATAGGTTTTATACAAAAGTTGAGAGGCACAGGAGATTCAAGTTAAAGTAAGTAGATAATGGTTGCTATTATTTCTCTTTCAGTAAGTAAATTTAAAAGGTCCTTAATAATTTAGTCCTTGACACAGATGAAGATGTGGTTTTATTGAGATGAACAGCCACGAGATCATCTGAAGTCCTTTAGACAGTTTTGCACACGTCAATTACAGTTTTCGCTTTCTCTCTCCACCTTAATTCTGCTAGATTGAGATGCCTTAATTCTGAGCCTACAAGGTGCTTAAGTCCAGAAGCATCTGGGATATGTGAACGGCATCTCTGATGGTGTGGAGTACACTTAACAGCTGTAAGTGCCAGCTGAGCTACGTCTTGCAATAGACAATCTTTTGGGCTTGACTCGACTGCTGAATTTGGTAATCTTTATAGAACATTGGGAGTACTGCTAAGTGACTGAAGATGAAGAGATCGCCACAGGTTGTGAGAATTAATCATGAATTCATCCTACCAAACTTTTGCCACTTTCACCATATCATTTGGATTTTTGAAGCTTTATTTCAAGTTTATACACACTAATGCATACTTTCTATTTTGCATACAGAATAAATGGTTAAGATTATAACTAAATGCTGCATTTTTTCATGACCTTCTTGAGTTGTTAATAATTAACTCGATATGATTACAGAATAGTTGCAAACAACAGCAGGACTTTATGAACCTGAGCATATATGACTTAAGCAGCATGATTTTATTTTAAAAGTCATAAATCAAGAGAAAATGTTTAATTTCAAACATACATGCAGGCTTTATTTTTTTATTGCTGTTAATTTACAAAAAGCTATGAATCTTCATTGAGAGGCTGAATAAAAAGACTGAAAAATTGTGATTGCCACAAAATTTAATCATTTCTCATCAAAAGTACTTTTATTCCCCCTATTATCCTGTTCACTACACACAGGTACTGAATTTGAGTGATTTTTTTCCCTTAGACTCTTTTAATACAACACCACTTAGGTTGAATAATTTCTTAATTCATCTTTTCTGTCCACATTTCAGCATCCCTGAAAACAGAACGTGTCTTACAGCTGATGGTGTTTTATAATAGCTATTTGCCAGGAGCAACAGTCAAGGCATTGTTACTTGCTCATCTGAACACTTGGTTGTAGCTGTGCATGTGACTGTAATTTCATCTTAATTAGGCACACTGCTGCTGGTACACACGTGTGACTCAACACCAGGCAAAACATCTCAAGGCAAGAGGCACCTGCAAATCCCTTGAAGAGAACCGTTTCAAAGCAGCTAGGATCCGTGCATTGTGCAGGATTACGATTAAGATTAGGCAAAATACAGTTGAGCAGTTAATGAACAAATAACACCCTCTGAAAGCTCTGCAAGTGGATAAATGCTAAACAATAGCTACCATATTTTCTCCCCAAGAACCTTGAAAACACACACACACAATTGAGGGTTGCAGGTAAGTCACTTCTGGTTTACCAAGCAATTATTTTCATATTGACATGTTAATGTAACATAAATTTGTCAGAAATTGAAACTGGTCCCATTGTCCCATGGAGCTGATGTTTGTGATTTTTTGAGTAAGTACAGAAATGGACTAATCTGGTCTTAAAACTTAAAAATTACATTTGTCTTATCTGTGTTCCTTCCCTGGGAAACTGACACTTAGGCAAGGAACTAAAACTTACCAGATCACCATATCCCAAGGAATCATCATATCCCTCACTTGTAGTGATTGCCTCTTTATCCCTCCCTGATTCCTATCTTCCCACATGTAGCTACATTCCTTCCTGACTATAGAAACCACCAATTTTAGTTGCTTTGGCAAGACTGATTTCAGGCTAATCTTTCTCTCTGGCTGACATCACCTGAATAAAAGCCACCTGAGATCCAACTCTCACCACTACACAATATGTCCATGTAATGAATACACGTGTTCCCCATTAATCTAAAATAAAAATAAAAACTTTTCAAAAAAATTTTTTAAGTACAATTTAAAAAATAAAAAAGTCTTCTTTCCTAGCAATACTCATTGTCTCAGTGTGTGGCTTGGCTTCTGTGTGGCAAGCAACAAGACCTAGACCAAGCCCTTGGCTTTCTGATAAGAAAATCTTCTGACTTTGAATAGAAGCTACCTATCTTCTGTGGAAATACAAATAAACAGAGACAAAAATAAAACAGTTTTGTCAAACATCAAAGCTTTCACATGAAAACTTGTAGAACACATTTAGGTCTGCAGCTTGACAAAAGTTCCAGATGGTGGTATGGTAGGGCACTCAGGAAATGCAGTCTTACTTGCAACTTACCTATAAATTACACAAAAGATGAACCCTAGGTGGACATATGGGTATCAATAACTCAGACTAAAGTGCCTTAGAAGAGTTTGACTCTGCATGTGAAGCTGCAGAAATGTCTTGATGATATCTCAATACTTCACATTTTAGTTCCTTTATAAAATAACTATATGGAAGAGGGTCAAGTGATAAAAGTCTACATTTAAATGCATCTAAAAGAGATCTCCAATGAATATAAAAATTCCAAGTACTGATAAAAAAGGCACTGTCATATTTTATTGATAAATGCTTTTACTTTTTGTAGTGAAACATAAAATAATGGCAATTCCTGTAACCAATGGCACTTCAGATTAGGTCAAATTACAATTTTGAGCATTTAATGAATGATAGCTCTTTAACATCCTCTGAAATCTCGGCAAGCAAATCAATAAACATTAAAAAATATCTACCATGTATTTTTATGTTACCATGGGAAGAACCTACTCACACACAAACATGTATCATAATTGAGGGTTGCAGACAAGTCACTCCTAGTTTACCAATTATTTTTATACCGATATGTTAATATATAAATAACAGTAGCAGAGACTAGTTCTTATATCAATTTACATTAATTCACAACACAAAAATCTGACAAAACTTGTTTCCAATCAATTATTAAACTTTAATATGAAGACATTTCATTTATGTGCTTATGCCAAAATAGGAATACATAACTTGGGATTCCAGCCAATTTTAATTTTCTTGAAGCTGTTTATCATCTGTGTATTATCTTAGTGCTTCTATTCTTCCGCCTACCTCCTGCTGTCACATTTTAGCCAATTACTGCTTCTCAGCATCAACAGTACGCAGAAAGAAAATAAGAATTGAAAAGTAAAATCAGTCCATTTGGTAATTTAACAGTTTTGTTATCAGGGTTAATAGGAGAGGAAGAAAGTAAAATCTGCAGTTAAAATTATATGGTTATCAATGAATCTCAATTATGCCTACTATCCTCCCCACAGATAACTGAGTTTTGTGTGTGTGTGCGTGTATATACACATGCATGCACACACACTCTCACGCACTTCTGTGTTTTCCTACAGAACTTTAGAAAAAATGTAAAATATACAAACACATGTTCAAACTTAAGGATAACACACACAGTTCAGTGTGCCTATGAAATTTGTTTCATTTTCATAAGATCAATAAATGAGATACAAATTTTATCATTAGTTTCAGGGCTCTTTGTTTCTAGTTGTTTACAAACTAACATAATCACATTAAGCAATGATCTAATCTGAAATTGTCAACTATAAGTTTATTTCTGAAAAAGTATTTCTACAGCATTTCTACAGTAACTTGATGATACAGTGTGCCATTTTTATCACTTTATCAAAACAGGACTATATTTGAAGAGAGAATTGTCAATACATAGAACCTTATTGGAACCAAAGCTCAAAAGAAGATGGAAAATTCTAAAGGTATGTTTAGAAAATTACCTTTAAAATTACTTGATTATTGTGCAAAAAAAACAACATTCCACAAACTCATCACCAAAAAGAAAATCAAGATAGTAATAAACACCAAATGACTACCTCTTTTCTAAACTTAGTCTTGAAATATTCTTACAACAAAAAGCTATTTGTCTGCATTTTTGTGTTATTGTTTTGCTACAGCAATTATGTTAATACAATTTTGATTTATTTAGGTCAGTGAAACAAACACACAAAAAATAAAGGCCTACAGAAATGCCTATTTGAAAGTTGCTCAAAGGCAAAGTATACAGTTTTCAAGGTATCTCTAAATCAAATTGCTTTTTAAACGAATTTCTAGAAAAATCTGCTCTCTATATGTTATCATATCTTCTACATCTTTGTAGATAAGCATTTCTTCAATGGACAGAAGCTTATAGCTATTCAGGCTGAATGTTGACTTATTCTTAACAGCATTTAACATCTGTAGAGATGCTGTAACTGAATCACTCAAAGAAGAACAAACTGGGAAAATGCGTGCAGTCCACAAACTCAGACATGCCTTGTTCCCAGAAAACATTTCCTCCGTAGCTTTAAGATTCCAGGTATCTAAGCACGACAGGAAGCAGACTCCAAAGAACTGAAGTAACTTTACATCTGACAGTGTTGCAACGCTCCTTTTCAAGTTGTCTTGGACTCCAAATGCCATGGTGGAATACTTGAAGCATCTATTCATCTTCAGGCTTAAGGAACACACAAAGGAAGATGCAGGCAGGACAGCTTTTGTTGGGATGCAGGAACCACTGACGATGCAGTTTTCGCCAACTGAGACACGAGGCCCCAGCCTGGAATACTCCACAACGGAGCCAGGGGCCACAGAACATCCTGAGTCCAGGATACTTTGGATGACACAGGATGTTTTACCAGAGCACTCTGTTCCACCTGGAAAGATGCTAAAAGTTACGGACTGCAAGCTAAGCTCTGCCTTTAAACTGTTGTCCGAAGTAAAATAAAACAAATACTCTTCAGTTGTCCCGATGTGATAGAACTTGGAGTTATTAAGAACAACAACATTTAGGGATGTACCTTTGAGAAGATGAAATATTTTCTGCCTCACATCAACCAATTCTGACTCTTCTCTAGTGACATTTAATGTGTCTCTGGTGTACTCCACAGTTGCCCCGGGTCCCAAAGCCTGCAGAAAGTCGCCATAGGCATCTATTTCACAGTTCAGCGTGCCTATTGTTTCATAAAAATCAAGTAACTTTTTTGCTGATTTCTGGTCCATGTAAAATAGGCTATCTGTGTACACGTAGTCAGAGTCTAATTTAAGACAAGCAGGGTCAGCCCCAGCAAAGTCCTGCTGATCAAAATTTTCAGGTCTACACACAGCATTAAACTGACACATTTTTTCTATGCTAGGCTTATGAAGGAAACGATGGCAAGACCGGTATTCAAGGTCTCTATGTTCTAAACAATCAGAAGGCTCTAAGACAAAGACTCCATGTGTGGTGCCCACTGTCAGACTAGAAGGGTGAGCTAAAGCCGTGAAGCCAGGTTTGTCAAAGCAAATAAACTCAGATTCTCCAATATCATAAAGTTCTATATCATCTGCACAGGTAACCAGAATCCCAGGATTCATATGTGAGGGGAAATCAATGTACATGGCTAGTTTTAACTCCAACATCTGATAAGTGGGATTACCAAGTGGTAAAGCAGTGAAAATTTTCCCCAGAGCACTTGCATTTGGAAGTCGTTGACTGTAGCCACCTATAAAATTAAACAAAACAACCATTTTAAAATGTGCTATTTTTAAAAACATTTTTCAAAACCTAGGTGCATCAGTTACAACTCAAAACACTCTAAAGATATTTAAGATACACAATTGTTACTATAAATCAAGAAAGATTAATAAACCGCAGATTAAAAATTCAGAGAGCAATTCCTCTGTAGCCATTTGATATAATGCAATTTTAAAAATTCTGGGTTAGGAAAGAATTCCAATATACTGTAGAGACTGTAAATTGTTTTGAATCAAATTTATGACAAGTAAAAGAGATTAAAACATGATCTTGTATCTACATTTTATTTTATCTTATTTTTAATTTTAATGCTTATCATAATTTTTTGAACACATATTTTCAATAACTGTATCTACATTTTAAATAATAAATTTAAACCATGTTTAGACTCCTACATTAAGAAGCCACTCATCAACAAAAAAGTTACCAAAAACACTAATAAGCCAATTGTAAAACATAATCAATGGCTGCTGCACGACATTTCACTCAACAATGGACAGCATACATTACGGTGGTCTCATAAGATTATGACGGAGCTGAAAAATTCCTATCACCAGGTGATACTGCAGTCATCGTAATGCCTGACAACAACGCATGACTCAAGTGTATGCGGTGATGCTGCTATCAACAAACCCACTATGCTGCCAGTTGTATAAAAATACAGCAATACAATTATGTATGATACATAACATGATGGCAATAATAAATGACTGTGTTAAGGCCTATGTGCTTGCTATACTATACTTTGTATTGCTATGTTAGAGTACTCCTTCTCTCTCTCTCAAGTTAACTGTAAAACAGCCTCAGGCACGTCCTTCAGGAAGTATCCAGAAGAGGACACCGTTATTACTGGAGACGAGAGCACCATGCGTGTCATGGACCCTGAAGTCCAGGAGGACAAGATGTGGAGTAGAGCACAGAGATAGAGATGATCCTGACACAATGCAGGCTGAGGTTAATGTGTGTGTTGGTGTCTTCATTTTTAACAAAGAAGTTTAAAAATTAAAAAACTAAAATAAAAATGAAGGCAGAAAAGAATAAAAATTGTGCAGCTGTAAAATATGTTTGTGTTTCAAGCTAAGCGTTATTACAAGAGTCAAAAAGTTAAAAAAAAACTTTAAGGGTCATAAAGCAAAAATGTTACAGTAAGCTACTGTCAATTTATGACTTAAGATCAACAATACATTTAAAGCACTTGGCAGAGTAACACTGTTCAACAAATTAGAGCTAATAACTTTCTATTTTGCTTTTTCCAAAGACTAGTCATTAGTCAAGTTTAGCACTACGGGAATGATCTATTTCTAATTATGCTCTTTTTGGTATCCAACTTAATGTTTACTAAACTGGTAAACATAATAGTATTTTCCTTGAATAAATTTATATATTTGAACTTTTTTACATTTTTAGTCTTAAAACTAGAACTTGGTTGCTTTACTTTGATATCATCTTTACAAAGAACCACTATTTTATAAAGGAATCATAAGAATTTGCAAGTGCTTTGAAAGCCATGTAGATGAGCAGTTCTAAAATATTTGTTTCTGGAAAGTTTTCATCAGCCCACTAACATACAGAAAAAAATGAAAGAGGTTTTCACGTAATCACAATTTTTATACAACTAAATGTATTCAATTTCAAAAACTATCCTTTATTCCAAGACTATATCCTTCCAATTTTTGTTTTAAAATGTCTTCTTTTGTGTGTATGCTTCCTCTCTCTTTATTTCCTCATAATCTCTCTACTTTGTCAGTTTTTCCCTTATTTTTAAACATTGTAGCCTTTGATTACTGATCAATTACTGGTAAATAATCACACAAAAATGTAAGACAGAAGTCTAGTAATAAAAGTGCTAAACCAGCCTCTCTCCAAAGCAAGGATCCCCTCAAAAGAATTCCTGAGAACTGTCACACTTGGAAGAGCTCTGTTTTAGGAAAATCATTTTCCATATGCATACCAAAAACAAAAGTTGATGACATATGTGATCTATGATTTTAAGGATACATTTTGTAAAAGTCACTATGCTGCTTACAACCTAAAAATACCAAGAAAAGCACGAAATATTTGTTTTCAAAGCCCAATAACTTTAAAGAATGCTTTTTAAAGACAGCAAAGTATTTGCATGAGAGAAAAAAGTTCATAAAGTTTCAAAGGTGGAATATGCAAAGGCAAATGTAAATTAGTAAAGTATAAGTTTACCAGAGTGAATTAACAAGATGGTAAAAGAATTCCATTTATCTCCATACAGTTTTTCTAGACATCGAAGGGCACAAAGTGTTGATCCTCCATTTCCTTAAAAATAAAGTTAAAAGGCACAATTTATTTCACAGAAATCTACTCAAATCATGTCATGATGGTAAATTTAGGTGTTATAACTTCAAGAATATGGCTTTCAGCTGTAATTAAATAGACAAACACCATAGGTATTGGCAAAAACCAATCAAATAATAAATAAATAAATAGTAATGACATCTAGAGAGTAAAGCTCAGTACATATAATGAGCTAGTAGTCTCCTAAAAAATAGTAATGTAAAAGAAATAATAAATTACACAATCTGTAACTAGAAGACTTAAGTGTAAACATTCATATAGAGTTACAAATCACAAAGCCCACTTAAATAGTTCTCCCATATGGCATAATCAATATATAAAAGTTAGATTTCCTTCCTAAAAAATTTTTTTGAATCTAGTTTCCTAAAAAACATCTTAAAAATAGTGACAACACTAGTTATCTCGGGCTAATGATTTAACTCTATGTCTCAGAGTCCCTTCTATACAATGGGAATAATAAGAGTACTGGCTTCATAGTTGTGAGGATTAAAACAATACTGGCTAATTAGAACAATGCTCATGTCACAGGCAGATATTCTATCTCTGGTATTCAGAGCCTTTAAGTATCACATGGAAAATGGCCTATAGGAGAAAACTATTTTTTACTTGCCACGGAAGATCAAAGGGCAAAGGTGACTTAAACCAGGGTTTTAAGATAAATATTACATAATACTTACACCACTTAACAGTGTTCTTTTGCACTCTGTGTTGTGCCTAAAAAGTCACATGTATGTATATTTTTTTCTGATTTGCTTTCTTCATGTAAATTCCTGGAAAAATCTAGGAAGGAACTTTAGGACCCCATTGATAAAATCCAAAGGAATATTCACCATCTGAGTAAATTTCATGAACACTAATAAAATTCTCTCTTAAGTAACATTCTGGAAAATTTTCAAGGTAAGTCACAATGAATAACTTGCTATGCATTGAGCTTTCTAAAAAAGAGAGTCAATTTTCATTCTAATGTCAACGTTTGTGAAGGCCATAAGTAGGGTTCTGTAGCTTATAAACTGTAAGCCATAGAAAAGCCTTTAATCAATGACTACCCTGCTCAGGACCTGTGTTATAAACGTGATCATAAAACACGTACCGATTTTAGCTCCAGCAGGATCAACAAAAACGTGATACTGAACTCCAAGGGGTAACTCCTTTCTTTTCAGCTTTTCTGACAGCTGTTGCTTGTAAGCAAATTCCTGTTGTTCATCAGCTGCTGTTATTGCAACTATGTCCCAGAACTCTCCAGCTGACACGGGCTTGCCTGTTTGGAAAAAACAAGGAAATGACACCAGTAAATACCAGAATTCTCTACCTGTTACAGGCTTGCCTGTTTGGAAAAAAACAAGGAAATGACACCAGAAAATACCAGAATTCTCTACCTGTTACAGGCTTGCCTGTTTGGAAAAAACAGGGAAATGACACCAGAAAATACCAGAATTCTCTACCTGTTACAGGCTTGCCTGTTTGGAAAAAACAAGGAAATGACTCCAGAAAATACCAGAATTCTCTACCTGTTACAGGCTTGCCTGTTTGGAAAAAACAAGGAAATGACAGCAGAAAATACCAGAATTCTCTACTTGTTACAGGCTTGCCTGTTTGGACAAAGGAATAAAAAAGGTAACACTATCATCAAAAATGGATATTCTGCTTTTGAGAATTTAGTGGCCCATTAGTAAGATTCCAAATAGTTTTAAATGAGGATTGTTCACAAGTTCTCTTTTTTTGTCTTTCAGATTACTCCTTCCTTTTATGGTCTACAATGACATTTACTTAGAAATTCTGAAATATATGTTTTTGATTAGGAGAGGTACTTTAACTTGCCAAAGACAATAACTGAGTAAGAAGAGAGGCAAAGAAACAAATACATGAATCTCTAGCTTTGAAAATCATTTCTCATATATCAGGGCCACGTAGTGTTTGTTGGCTAAGAGAGATTCAACCCAAGGATTCATTCCTTCAATGTTGCTGCTTATAAATTGTAGCAACTTGGATAGAATCAGAGCCCATCATACTCAGTGATGTATCTAAGAAACGAAGAACTGAGTACCACATGTCACATGCTCTCACTCATGGACAGATCCTGAACAATCATCATTACTGTAAGAAAGGGATGGGCAGTAGTGGGAAACTGCTGGGGTGGGGGGTGGACACACCTCATCGAAAGGGTATGTGATCTCAAACCAGGCTAAAGAGAGGCCCAGACTTCACCTGTGCAATAACCATTTGTATACCTAACCCTGAATTGTACCCCACATCTTTAAAATTAAGTACATAAGTAAGAAGAAAGGAAGATATGTTTGATAAGACAATAACTAGACAGGAAAAAAAACAGTTGTGGGTACTTTCTTTTTTATTACTTTTAAGATGAGCCGTTTGAATTTACATAGGCTACTAGACACAAAATTCTGGATCACGGAAGGTCCCAACTCCCCGAGGAACTAACTCATTACATGACCGAGTACACTTCTGGTATATAGTTGGAATCTTTTTATTGATGAAGGAGATTAAGAAGGGTTTTTAGTAGTTAATAATCAGTGCTTGCAAGCTAGAATCCGATAGTCCTGGACATTTTACTGTTACTCAAGTATTAGTCTCAATGTTTTTTAAGCGGTCACTGCATCAAAAATATGACCGCTTTTATCAGACAGCGGTGCAGGGCGTGGCAAACCGCATAGCCCGTTTTTTGATAACAAACTTCTCCCTTTTTTTTTTTTTTGAGTTGGAGTCTCACTCTGTCGCCCAGACTGGAGTGCAGTGGCCGCTCCCGGCCACCGCAGCCTCGGCCTGCTGGGCTCCAGCGATCCTTCCGCCTCAGCCTTCCGAGTAGCCGGAATGACAGGCGCGCGCCACCACGCCCGGCTGATTTTTTGATTTATTGTAGAGATGAGGGCTCGCTGCCCAGGCGGGTCTCGAACCCGCGGACTCAGGCAATCCACTCACCTCAGCCTCCCAAAGGCGCGGGATGACAGGCTGAGCCACCGAGCCCGGCTACACACTTCTCCCTGTAAGCGCTGACATTACAGAACAAATTGGGCGGTGGAATCCGGATAAAATCAGAACTACTCGTCAAGGTGGAAACGCGTCGCTTTCGATCTTTCGGGCTTATCGCATTGATCATAAAACTACAAGAAAGGGGTACGCAGGCGGGGACACGGGGGGGCCTGACATCACCAAGGGTACCTGACCCCAAGGCAGGCGAAGGCAGGACCCGTGGGAGGCCCAGGCTTCGCCTGTGCGACGGCCACTTTTGGGCCTGACCCTAAACTGTTGTGCCCCGCATCTTTAAAGAGAAATCAGAACGAAAAAACCAGTTTTGTTTTGTTCTTTTTCAGTGAGAAAGCAGGGCGCAGTGAGAGGTCAGAAAGCTCCCACCGCGGGAGGGGGCCCGGGGGGCGGCCCCCCGAACAGCTTTCTAACGAACGAACCAGCGCGGAACTTCGCTAGTGGCGCTCACGTCCCTTCGGCTTCCTCCTCCACTTCGGCGTCGGTCCTGCCGGGAAGCAGGGAAAGCGACGCCAGGAGGGGCCGGG